CTAGATTAAATTTCAGTCCAAGATACCAAAGTGGGGTAATGAAAACAGTTTGTTCTCTGAAGTAAATAATTGAAAAAATCAAGAACAAATGTGGAAGCTTATATGTAAGGGATGCACAATTCAGCACCTGGCTGTAAAATGGAACTCTTATCTCCCCTTCAGCATTCTCCACTTCTTGTACTGCAGTTGTCTCATCTGAGACATAACATCACTACATCTTGTGTAATGTAGTTCCTTTGGGTTCAGCTGGTATGGAGGCCATGAGCTGTATCACCCTCACTGGACTGGATGGTTCTGTTTGCAGATCCCTAATCATGAGTTCAGGTGATATACTGGTGTTAGATCAGCTAAAGGCAGTAGTGATGAGGGACATGGTGGGATGTGAAGTGTCTCTTCATACTGCCCAGTTGCTGGGCAAGTGATTTGCAACTGGGGTGGTTGTGGTCTGCCTGTGTCAGTGGAGGCAGCTGTTTTCCTCTCTTCTCACTTGCTTATAGTGTCATAAGCAAGGGGAAGCCAGAGAAACAGATCTTACCAGCTTGGCTGAATAAGATAAAAATTGTTTCTAGACTGCCCATTGTGTTTCTCATGGTTTAAGCCACAACAGCACAGTGTTTTGTTTATATAAGGAATTGAAAATGCATCAAATATGGCCATTGTACATTGCTCTGGATCAGAAAAGGCCCCAAAATCCTTCAAAGCTTTTGGTTTGAGACTTCTGCTTTACTGACCTTGCCATATACTGTGTGCACTTTTATCTTTATGTAGATGCTAAATGCTTGAAATATTAAAAGCCAAAAATGACCTGTGTGAATAATGCTTATAATCCCACACGTCCTTAGCTTCAGAGTTTGGTACTCAGCCTTTGAAGACATTTTGCACATGTTGCGGCTTTTTAAACCTCTGTTTCCAAATTTCTGATGGATCCTTTTGGATTGCATGTGGCTAAACCCAGAGCTTGCTCAAGGAAAGGTGTTCTTCCCTTGAAGTTGCAGGCTGTGTCCCAGAGTGGAGAGTAAGAAGATATATCCCATCTTCTGGTGCTTACAATACCAGTGCCCACCATTAGAATAGGGCAGTTGTTAATGAAGGTCTAGTGGGGGGCTTGCCTTGGAACTGTTAATCAAAGTGGAAGAAGGTAGAGTTGAGGGAAGACCATGGGTGCCAGGAGACAAGGGATCCCTACAAACTTAGAATCAACTCTGGCTTTTTTATTGTTTCTTTGTTGTTTTGGGCTTTGCTGGTAGTCACTTTGTTACATCATAACATGTCAGTTGAAATATTTGCCCGGCAAGTTGGAAGTCTTGCACTAAAAGAGTTTACTCTGCAAAATGCGTTCCCAAAGGTAAGAGGTCAAACACACCCCACTGCTTAGTGCTTGCCATTGGCTGGGTTTCAATGAATTGCAAACTCAGCATGTGGATTTTTTCGATATTGATTCTTTTTGCACATTGTATGAGGACTCTAGACCTTAAATTTTGGCCTCTTCTCTGGGTATTAAAAAGGCCTGAAGCACACATCTACTTTATCAGCACCTAAATTGCTGAGAAATCTTACTTCTTGTAAGCGTGGCTAGAAACTTCATCTGTTGTAATTGTGTCAAAAGGTACATAGAGCCCATATAAGTGCATGATTTGAACAGGAACCTAGTTATGGATTTATGTTATTTACTGTCTTAGTCTGGCCCTGCCTTCTTATTCCCTTCCTCGCAACTCTGTATTTTAGTTAGGCTGTACAAATTTCAAATTCCCATCACTAAGTTCTGTTGGGAGTTCACTATAAATGTAGCTCAGAAGGAGCTCAGTCTGCTGTTACTTCTGATTCTGATTTTTCCGAATGGATGCTTCAGCCACTGAAATATGTTTGTAACCTAAGTGGGTTTTGAGCCTAATCCCTAATTCATGGTAATTAGTTTATCCAAGTTCCTGCTTACTAAATTGAACTCTCAAATCAGCTTTTTCAAGTTGAAGGCAGATACCAACACTGAAACTTGATTTTCATCATGACCTGTTGTATGTCTGTCTTTCTCAGCTAGAGCCTTTTGTTTGTGGATTCCAAGTTGGCTCAAAGAAAATTACTTTTGTGGGCTATTGATTTCTGTAAATTTCACTTTTAAATACAATTTCGTGGTGTCAGGGCTTTTAATGTACAGGTTCTGTTGACTCTTCTTGAAAGAGACATTTATTTAGACTGTTACCAAATAGCTGAATTTGATTAAATTGCATAAAACAAACAAAGCTTGTAATCTTGGGACAGGAGCTTGTTCTTGTGTCCTTTCTCTGTGTTCTCTCTATGTGAAATTGTTTGAATAACCTCCCAGACAGTTAATTAGGTCATGATATAGATGGTTTAAGGGGAATTTACTAGTAATGCTAATAAGAAAACTGTCACAAAGTTCGACTGCTGTTAGCTTAGTGTTGTTTAATAGATATTTGAGATACAGTATTTCAGATATCTGATATTATAGTCTTATTGGCTGCCTGATATTATAGTCTTTTATTGGTCACCTGAATATGTAAAAAAAAAAAAAAAAAAAGGAGAGGGGGAAATAAAACCCCAAACAAAACAACAAACCCAAACTGCCAACCCCTCCTCCCCAAAATAAAAGCTAACCCCAAACCACCCAAAAACACCCACCAAAGTGATTGCTACAGGCTATATCTGATGGAATACTGGAAACACAATGACTGGTTATCTTTTACTCTGTGACTTGGTGGAGGCAGCTGTATGTGTATCTGTTGCTTGAATCTACACAATAACTCTCAATAGCAAACTTTGAGAAGGTAGGTAAGAAGAGATACTAATCTGTTGCACAGCTATCTCTAGTTGACTGGGAAATGTGACTATTCATGTTTCTGTGTGACAAATGTCATTCTAGACTCAAAACCATAACTACAATTTTTCAAATGCACCAAGAGAAAAAGAAGTAGCATATTTGTTTTCTAAGTTGTTTAAGATGAAAAAGCCATTGCTAGCCCAAGGTCATTGGAAAAAAATAAATTTATGACAATAGGAAAAGTATCACTTCAGGTCCATTGTAATAACCAGACCTATATTTATCTCAAAGTATATTCCCTCACCTTCTGAAACCTGTTATTTTTTAGTGATATGTGTAGGAATGACTGTTTTTAAAAGGAGCAAAACAACTCCAAGTGTTATAATTTAGCAGTTTTTGAGTATAGAATAAACATTAAGATCGTGTACTTTAGGCATTTAGCCAATTTCTTTTCCTAATATATAATGTGTCTGTTAAACTAGTGGTTCCTTTTTTTTGCCCCCTGTGTGCTAAAATCATTTATCTTTGGACGTATTCCAAAGATGTGGTGACAACACACTTTACAAAGCAGGTCTGTGTAAGTGCTGAGTTAGGTGGTTGTTACAATTTTTAAAGCCCTTATGATAACCATGAAGCTATAATAATGATTGAGGCTACATCCATAAGGTAGTGGGTAGATGCTGGATTTGTGTTCAGAAGCAATGACAAGTTTCTTCTGTTTGTTTTGTTCTGGTATTTGAACACCAGACATGGATTTATTTCTTTTTCTTGTAGGGCTTCTATTTAAGCCTGGTCAGTTTTTCTAATTATGTAATATACATAGTATCTCGCTGAACTTAAATTATGTTGATCAAAACTTTTTCAGCTCCAAAAAGGAAATCAAACTAGGAAAATATTTTGATCAAAACAGTTTTCTCTGAACAGCCTTATTCCATTGATCAAAAACTTGTAAAGTAACAGTTTTATGAGTAAAAAATGTGTCTTTGTGCTATGATGAAGACCTCCAAAATGTTTCCTGACATCTCTGCAGATAACTGTATCCATGACCACCTCTGTCCTTCCAGAGATCTGGTCTTTGCTAGATGGTTTGCTTTCTTTCAGTGTTAAGAAGTCCTGCCAGTAGCATTCTTAGCCAAAAAATATATTCAATTAAGGAGAAAAATGAAGACAGGATTTTTATGTAACTTGTTTGGGACTGCAAAGGAGTTGAATAGGAGAGCAGAGGGCATGGACTCAACTATCTTGATGGTGATAAATCAAATGTTTGCTTACCATTAAGATGTTTTAAAGCAGTAAATTCCTTTCTGTATTTTGTTAGCTACATAAAGCTAATGAGTCTTACACCAGCACCCTGAAAGTTGTTGCGGCTGTTTGACTAGAACAAGTGTCAGCAATGAAAGACCCATCAGATAAATTATTCTACCCACATTTGGGCTATTTGGATGATTTCCAGTTAGAAGCTTTTGCTTATTTGTATCTTAGGTAAAGATGCAAGCTTTTAAATAAGGGTCCAAGCTAATTTAGCATTTAGCAATTAAGACTAACTTAGTAGAGCATGGGTTTAAAGGTCTGATCACCTCATTATTTAGGAAGTCTGTATATTTATTGTACATTGTGCATGGATTTAGGGAAAAACTAGTCTGGTGATTTTATATGCAAGTTTGGAGAAACAGGTGTGAAAAGTTAGTGTCGATCAGCAGTAGATTTATTTTGCTTGGATCTAGAATTGAGAAAGCATCCACATTCAACTGTTTTATTTTTCCTGTTTATTTATAAGCTCTATTTAATTTTCAAATTCTGTTGTGTGATTGGTCCCAGAATTTGCCTTGAAATTTGTGGAAGAATAAAATAACTCTTAGATTCTCTCATAACTAAGCAAAGCATGTAAGCACAGTTAGAGCAAATAGAGCAACTGACACAAGACAAGTATCATATTTAATAATAATGTGAGCTGCATCAGTTTTAGCTGTAATTACATGTTGGTTGGTGACTGACCTTATGAAGAGCATATTTAGGCTAATCTAAATTTTTAGATTGGCTTATATTCATATAGACTTTGTATCAAGGAGACACCCAAATCACTGTAAAAAGAATCCTAGTCTAAATGAGGAGTCTATGGAAAACCTATGGAAGTTTGTTAAAACAAAACTGGTTTTTCTATTCTTTAATAATGCTTTTCCAGTAATTCAAGTGTTGAGATGATCATCTCCTGCTCTTTCAGTGTAGAGATTGGTGAAAGTGTGAGAGGAGAAGATGTGTATATTATTCAGAGTGGCTGTGGAGAAATAAATGACAACTTAATGGAACTGCTCATCATGATCAATGCCTGCAAGATTGCATCATCCTCCAGAGTGACTGCTGTAATTCCATGTTTTCCATATGCCAGGCAAGATAAGAAAGACAAGGTAGGTAAGAACTGTGTCATTTCAGAAGGCTTTTGTTAAGCTTGCTTACCTGAAATTTTTGGAGATTAATAATTTTCATGAACATTTAAGTGATTTGAAAGACTTGATTATTTTTTTTCCCATCCTTTTTTTTCTTGGTAAAATGTTCAATAATTTTATCTGTAAGCGAATGAAGTGAGACTAAACTATTTTTTGCTTGTGGTTTGATAATTGACACACCTTCAGTTTTAAAAAGTAGGTACAATCTACGTGTATTGTATGTTGCAGAGTACTTTGCTAGCAAACCTCACCTTATGGGATTGCTTTTCTTGCTTATTCTAAGTTTGAGGGTTTTTTAATCTCTGTATATGAAGAGAGTACACCTTTTTAAGCACTTTTATTGCATGGAATTAAGTCCTAAACCTGAAGTACTGCAACCATTATATATGTGGGTTTACCCTATATGGTTAGACAGCCAAATGGAAGGAGCTGATGAAATCTGAGCGGCATAACAGTAATTAATAAAAACATTCTTTTATGCTACCAGAGAGAGTGAAAAAAAAGTTTTTATATCTGTAAAAATTATTTTGATTTATGCAGACCAAAAATTGTATTGAAACTGTTTTTAGTGCCTTAGTCCTGAATGTGATCTGTCATAACTGATGAATATACCAGTTCAGCCAAGTTGGTAACACAGTAATAAACTTGGTGTTAAGTGAGACTGATTTTAAAAGATACCTAACTAGACTTTCCTATCTCTACTATATATACAAAAAACCTCTAATAGGTTATATGAATGTTACTTTTACCCAAACTTACTTAAGGAGAAGTAATAAGAAATGTGAATTTCGCTTTAAAGATTGGATTACAGTGGTTATATTTTTTGGGAAATTGCCTCCCTCTGATACTTCCCATAAATGGACTACTCCCTTCCTCTCACTTTGGACATCAAGCAAACCATCCTTAAAGCCTTCTATTATTCTTTATGTTCTTTTATATAAAACTACAACAAGACTGAAGTAATGCAGAAGCTAAAAATAATAGCAGTTATTACAAAATATGTAATGCTTAGCCTGTGATGTCTAAGAGCAAAGCTAAATACAAAAAGCTTATTTTCTGGTATACTCATTCTTTAAATGCAGACTCTGTAACACCATACTAATATTGTCAAGATCCACTTGTTACACTTCCAAAAACAGATTTCAGGAGTTAAATAGTAACACCCTATTCTTTGCCTACATCTTTTGGTACTGCATTTTTGCTACATTTTGTATTGAATAATGCTTTCCCATCATCAGGACAGGTGAAATGCTTCTTTATATCAAAAGAGCTTGAAAGGGAAACAAACATTTTGTTGAAAGGGAAGGAAAACATGTCACTATGTTTTGATTTCCCAATTCGTATTGGGAGATTCTGCTGGACCATCCTGTAAGTTCTGGTGTGGGGAAAAGGATGAGTCTTTTCCATGCATCTAGGGTATGTCTTGTCAAGGGTACCCAACAGCCATGTGGGAGTCTTCCAAGAAACACTTAAAACCCCCAGTGTGGTGGCACAGCATGCCATTCAGAAGTATTTTGTATTTTAGAAATGCCATCTGAAGACAGCCTAGGAAAGTGATTGTGATTAACAGATTTTGAGCATTTTTTCAAAACTGTTCTCAGTGTGTCAATGACTCCTGCAATTCTAGGCAAAATGCCTTTTTTATCTTTTTTTCTTTATTTTCACCTCTCCCCTCTGTTTTGCAATTGAGAAAATGTTTGCCATCTTTGGAAATTAACCTTGGTAGTGACCTCCATGTTGCAAAATAAGCTATAATATAGCTGTCAACATTGAGCAGCTTATTGACAGGGACATCTTTCCTCCCCCTGTTGGATTTCATCACATCACTTGGTCTTTGACCCATGTTGAGTGCACAAGCTTTGTATGCTACCTGAAGTGTCAGTAAAGTGCCAGCCATTTTCTTCCTGTGGTTGTTCACAGATTTTCTTCTATGATGAAAGATATTGCTGTAGCTTGCTTACTATGAACTGAAGCAGCATAATCTTCACTAGCTGGATGCTGGGTTTTGGTTTGAATTAAAGCTGTTGACTTTAATCCATTAAGAACTAAATAGACTGAGTCTTTGCTGCTTAAATAACCCTGTTTTCTTCAAACCTCTGTTGGAGTTATGCTTACTGAGAACTATGAAAGTGCTCTTGATTTATTTATATAATAAAAGTGCCTTGCAGTAAAAATCTGATTCTAAACAAGGCCTGTGTAATCTATTCTGGAAATTTTAACATTAAACCCAGACTAACTTGAAATGAGAAACAGAGGTGTAAAAACAAAAAAAGGCTTGCTCTGAATCATGGAAAAGTTGGTAAATTCATTTAGACTCAATCAAGTGCTGCCCTAAACTAGAAGATTTCTGATGCACAAGCTAGCTAATTTAAAATGAGATTAAAATTAGCTCAGGTGTATCTGTGCTTTGGCCATAGCTGCATTTATGCATCCTGTTCCAAGCTGTGGGCAAGACATTTATGTAGGATGCTGCAGAGATGCCTTTGAGATAAGTTAGAAGTACAGTGACAGGTGAGTTTGGTGTTCTACAGCTCATGTAACTTTGTTTTTTTGATTTGTAGAAGGGGTCCGTGGAGCGTTGGGTAGGTATCTTTTTTTTTTTTTTTTGTTAATCTAACACTATGCATTTCCATTAATATGGCCTTCAAGGGTGAAACTTAAGGGGTTACCTTATGTATAACTAGGAACATTTTTGGTTTCACTTCTTGATCTCAGTTGTGTTTCGCCTAGGCCATGACAGTAATCCTGTGGGATAATTTGCTACAAGAAAATTCTTAGATTCCAGTTACAAATTTATCTGGACGTTCAAGATAATGGCTGTCAATTTCTGAAGCTTCAAAGCACATCTCATTTTTTTTACTGATAAATTTGGGTAATACATTAGTGAATATTCAGTATCCATACACTTCACAACTGGCTTTCTTGGAAGTGAAAGTTCCAGTTATAAATCTATGGGGTCTTTGATTTTATTTATTTATTTATTTATTTATTTTGTTCAGCATGCATGTGATGAATATTAAGCAAGACAATGTATTAAGATGCTTGAAGGCAACAGAGCTTTAATCTTGATGGACAACTTTTACTTCCAGCTATGTGTCCTTTGCATAGTTACTCTTGTGAGGTGGTTAATATTAGCTTTGTGGATTACCCCCTACTCCTGATAATTGAAGTAATTTTATTTATTTTTTTTTACAATTCAGTTTCTGTACATAATATAATGCTGCTTTTCACACTAATAATTCTGAAACTAATCTAAAATTGTATCAAAGAATGGAACAATGAGTACTGTGAATCTCTTGTGCTCTTTCCTATCTTATCAGAAGCAAACCTTACAAGCTACAATATAAGGAAAATCTGGAGTTCTCATCTAACTTTGTCATCCAAATTCCTGAATAATGAGGCCAGGTTATCTGAGGTTCCCATGAATACACTGCCTTTAATTTTAAAATAATATTCAGTGTGGATCATACTGTAGCACAAACTTATTTTCTATGCAAGCAATCAAATCTTAAATCCTTTTGAACATGTCATGTGTGTTTTTCTTTTAATGCACAATTTTGTGTAAAGGAAACTGTCAGCTGCAAACTTCTTTTGTCTTAATCTCCTATTAGCCCATTCTTGAGAAACAGGTATTGGTGTCTGGCTATCTTTCCTTCCAAGACTCTCTGTCCACCAACACATAGGCAGTCTGTGATGTGTGCATATCTGCTAAAACAAGTTACCTAGTGGTAAAACTTCAAGTTCTTCCTTCTGGGAAGGCAGCCTGCAAGGCCAGCAGCTGAAAGAAGTACCAACTGGTAACGTATACATTAGAATGGGATGCAGAGAAATACTTTGGGGTTTTTTTTGTAATGGTGATACTCATGATACTGATACATGAGAAGTTGGATGGTATTCATATTGAACAGAAATGAAAAAAAATAAAGGCAAAAATTCAGTGTGCTGAAGAGAGAAATGTAGTTTGCCTTTAGCAGCTAGCCTGAGCTTGTTACCTGTTTCTACCAGTGAGGATGGTCCTGGTTTGCCATCTTCATTTGCCTTTCTTCTATTTGAGCTGACTCACCTGGCTGCTGTTGGCTCAGAGAAGTTCTTGTGTGCAGCACAAGGAAGGTGGTGGAATTGTCTAGCCTGGAAGGAAGGGATGGGGAAGCAGGGGAGCAAACCTCTGTTTTTCAGCATCATCTGTTAGTCCAGTTTAGCAGAAGCATTAAACGAGATGTTTGCAGAGAGCTGGTAAGAGAATGCTATGACAGAATTGAAAGAGTAGATAGCAAATCTTTGTTTTATTAGGTGTTGCCAGAGATTTGAGACTATTTTGAAGTTCATCTTAAAAATGTCAGATCCTGAGATGAGCTGAAGTAATCAGGAATTCAAATGGCATGAACAAAGTTTGCTGCTAATAATGGAAATATCCAGAAAGCTTTGGACAACTTGAACCTTACAGAACTGAACTTAAATGAAGAGCAGCATAGACCTCTGTAACTGGAATGTAAGCTGTGATGAAGTGTTAATGGTAACAAATTCTTAGGGAGGCTACATGCATCTGAATTGCAGAGATCCAGAGAAGAGTGTGGCAGCTGTTACATGTCTTCTATGCATCTGACACAGATTGAATGGTGGTGATGTTCTGTGAAACACAAGACCCAAAAGGGAAGGTTTTCAAAATTAAGAGTTGCAGTAATGATGATGATAAGCTTGATCTAGCCATATAAAAGACTGCAGTGTCTCAGTTTCTATTGTTAAGTGTGTTGTCAATCTGTGGGTTAAAACAGAGAAATGTGAAGTTTCTACCTAAATTAGCAAAAGTTTTGAGGAAAATATTGGCTCCTTGATAGGACACAGACAGAAAAGCATCCAGGTTAAATTGGCAGTTATTCAGCTCATTGTCAGTTATGCCCTTAAGCATCAGTGGAAGGAAAGCAGAGATACTCTGTAATTGTGTGTATGGGGTGGAGGGAGAGGAGGTTCCTGGGAGGCTAAATGAGTCTGTTTGATAAAGAGATGGAGCAGGAGAGAATACTGTGCCAGCAAAAACCAGTCTGACAGTGAGATGGAAACTCTGAATTGCAGTTCTGCCTTTATGCTAATGTTATTGCCAGCTATTAACCTTATTAAACATTGGCAAAAAGAAACCAGGAGGTTTTGTTTAGTGTTTCTGTTAGAGAGAGCTGTGTAGGGCAGCGTAGCTTTTTACAGTGCTTAAAAACGTCTGAAAAAAATTGGGAGTTGCTCAGAAAAGAAAAAAGTGAGGTATCCTCCAGTCATTGTTTCCATCTTCTCTCTATTTTCTTACGTTTTTTTAATGCTGCTGTTTGTTCTGCATCCTTGATGCTTTTAAAAAGCTCTTGACATTGGCATTAACTTTGCAAATAAGATTTTTCTTCTTCTTTAATTCTTTCTACTTCTCAGGGTTTTTTTTTCATCCCCTCTGTCTCTTTTGGGAATTCTAGGTTCCTAACTGCATCCAGAAATTAAACATGAATTAGGAAAAAAAGAATAAATAAATGGATCAGGGTAGAAGACCCTGCCAGCATGGATCAGCTACAAGTTTTTATTGTGTCATGAAGAAATGCTTGATACTAACTTTGTTTTAAGGCACTGTTTGCAAGAGTTGGGTTCACTTTGCCTTTGGTCTTCATTTTTTGCAATGTTTTCATGAACAGGATAGTTGCTTTGGAGTTGGATGTTTATATAGGGTAGAGGCTTAGAAAACTGGAGATTGTCCTTCTGCTATAGAAAAGTTTTAAGTAGAAGAATTTGAAAATTATATCCTCAATTTTATCTTTTTAATACAAAGCATTATTAGGCAGACTATGCAAACTGATTTAGAAAATCCTAAATGTTTTACTGCATTTCAAAACCCTAGTAGCAAGAGTAGCTATTGACAGGCTAGTTTGGCTAAAGTTCTGGAGTTTTTCATATCTATATTGCAAACATCCTGAAGGAAAAAACCAATAAACGTAGATTCTTTGCATCTAGTCAAAATACTTTTAAATTTTAAACATTTGTGCTTTATTCCTCAGAGCCGTGCTCCAATCTCTGCAAAACTTGTTGCCAACATGCTCTCAGTTGCAGGGGCTGACCACATCATCACCATGGACCTGCATGCTTCACAGATTCAGGTAGCTATCGATTCCTAATGGTTGTGCCTGGGAGCTCTAGACTTAATGGGAAAGGCTAGTGGTAATTCTCTGGGTGTTCTCACTGTTTTGAAAGGCAATGTACAGAATTCTAACCCAGCGTTCAGAGAAAGCCTTGCTCCCTGTTTCTAATTCAATTCCCTTTTAGAAAGAAACCAGTCATGATTTTATGGGGTGATTTTTGCAGGCACTTCAAATATTTTTGCATTAGAGTCTTCAGTAGAATTTGCCAAGTCTATTGTAAGAGCTTCCAGACCATAAAATGTACTTGCTTGGGGCAAGTTCTCTTAATCTTGGCCTTGTCAAAGATTATAGTGTTGCCCTAGGTAGTTTTCTTGTTACAGCCAAGGGTACAATATTCTCTTAAAAGAAGTGGAGATGGAGGCTAGCAACCCTTACCTGGCTTACTGCTGTATCATCCAGCAAATCATAAAACCTTTTCTTCAGAAACAAAGCAGACATCATTTATCCTTCTCATGTGCACCTCTTTTTAAGATAGCTTTGTGGTTTTTTCCTAGAAAATATCTTATCTTTCAGTTCTGGCACTCGGTTTAGTCAGAATTTCTTATTATGCTAGATATCTGTCACACAAAAAGCAGTTTCATTTGTGGTCTAACACAGATTTCTTGTCTGCACAACTTGCACAAAAACAAAGTTTCCATTTCTGCTGCTCAGGTAATACTAGCTTGAGTCTTCTCCATATTGAAATACTACTGTCCATGTCAAGCAGTTGAAATTCATGGAAGTTGAGTGTTACTGGATTTTTGAGATCTTTTCACTAGCATGAATTTACTTGAGTTCCTGAAGGTGATCATCATTTCTGATTTTTTTAATATCAATTGAGAATAGCTGTTCTCTGTTTCACTATTCTTGGGTGAGATTTTTTTAGAGACCTTAACATTGGTCTGTCTTCTATTGTATTTGACAGTAATACCAGAGGGCAGAATTAGACCAGTGCAAAATACTGATTGAAGTTCTATCATACATGAAAGACAAAGGCTTGATTCTTTCACTGTGTCTTCATTCCAGGGAAGATGCAAACATATATCATGAAACTTTCTTTCTCTTTTGGACTAGGGTTTCTTTGACATTCCAGTAGATAACCTGTATGCAGAACCTGCAGTGCTGCAGTGGATTAAAGAGAACATTCCGGAGTGGAGAAACTGTATCATAGTCTCACCTGATGCAGGTGGTGCAAAAAGGTACTATACAAGCCTAAAACTATTAGTTTTACATATAGTTAGTGGTTAATGAACTGCTTTGTCTAATCTTCTCTTTTCCTTTAGGAATTGTGTAAGATATAGAGTACATCACTGATGAATCTAACTGCATTGTAAAAACAGAACAACTAGTTCTTCCAATGTTGTTTATCCTCGAAAACACAGCTTTCTATACTCAAAAGAAAATCTTTTTCTCTCTCCCTGGGTATGGCTTCATTAGCTGAATCCCTCCACAGGAGGGAAGAGATTTTTCCTGCTGCTTGCTTCTTTAGTGCAGTTGCTGCACCTCTTCCTGCTTCACGCTGGAACTGCCTAAGCTTCCCCTCTCTGTCAAAGCATATGGCCTATTCCCACTCTACCTGCTGCTGTTTAGGTAAGAACTTGCTTGACTCATATTTCTTTTTTTTCCTTTCTCATATTGCATTCCAGCTGTAAACCTAGTGACCCCAAGTTGTGCACTGTAAATACTAGAAAAAGGGAATGAAGTTTTGTTTTGAGTGGCAAAAGGTAAAAAAAGCAAAAGTGAGTTCATTGGAGTCTTTCTTCATTCACAACATGCATTACTCGTTTAGCAGACTATCTTTTATTTGGTCTCTATTGAGCACAGACCAATGCAAAACTGGTTGGTGAGGTGATAAAGCATGGCACTGAGGTAAAATGCTTATTCTCAAGTTTTAGCAGTTATGCTGCTGCTGCAAAACAGAATGGCAACATAGAAATAAGACTGCTTAGAACTCCACAGTTGTTCCTTTTTAGATTAGTCAGGTTAAAGATATGAAGCATATAAACACAGAAAGCATTCTAAAATTCAGATGACTCAGTCAATTAAATTTCTTTGTTTGTTCCTATCTGGATACTGCTATTTTTGCAGTTCTTTGTTTTGCTTTAGATTTATTTAAACAAAATAAAGCCTTTTCTTAGAATTCAAGTCAGAAGACAGCATTTTTTCCTCTACAATATAGTTGTGTATTATCAAGTTGGCCATAAGAGTTTATTTTTCAAGGACCACTCTCATTGTATTTAATATAGAGAGATATAGTCTATCTTTAGTACCTTTCTGTTGTAATACAACCAAGCAGTTGCTGGTGAAGTAGGGGCAGATGTTGGTTTCAATAAATTCACAGCTTCTCATTTGCCTCCAGTAATGTAATGTAAAGAAAATGTTTTGGCCTTTCCATTTAAAACATGTAGACCTTCAAAACAGTACTTAATGAAAAGTAAATAAAATGTGAAATTTTAATGTGAATTGTCTTTAAATTTAGATCTGTAAGCATTAATTTTTTAAAGAAATCCATGTTCTTGCACTCATTTAAAAGATCTCAATTCTTTTTTGTTTCTTAGCATTTGCTTGTTTTTTCCCCAGCTTACTAAATGTTGTGACTGAAATAAGACATGCAAGTTCTATTAATATCTTAATGCCTCTGAGATATTGAGACTTCCTATGAAATTACACTATTCACACAAGATGTCAAAACTTTTGGGTTTTTTGTTTATCATCCAGTTGTTGAAATACAGTAACTAACAACGCCTTCATATTTAAGTGGCAAAGAAACACAACTGTATTTTCAATTAACTGTGCATGTTAAGAATCTTGTTAACAACATTCTAAACATATTCTTAAAAGAGAGGCTGCAAGGTTGCACCAGCATTAAAAAAAAGGCATCGTACTGTTTGTTCCAATGTTTATATGTCACAGCTCTGTTATATTAAACAAACTGGAAAAAGCACTTCAGAAGTCTGTAACAAGTTTATTATTGGAAGTTTGTCTGGCCACCAGAGGTTACACTGAATGGTATGAACAGATCTTTGTCAAGTAGATGTATGCTAATGAAGTAAGCTACTTGATTACTAGTCAAGTACTGTGAAAATAATTATTAATCACTATTAACTTGTTTGGTTTCACATTTCTGCAATGGCATTTTTCAGTTAGAATGTTAAAGTGCACGTTACTGTTGGCTTAGAATTGACTTAGAATTCCCTCCACTTGAAATTATGTGGTGTGACTAGGTATTGTAGCAGCTTAATAAAAGCTTGTGAAGAGGTGAAATGTTTTCAAAGCCAGGCACTTCATGACAGAAAACCAAAGTCAATTCAGTTAAAAAAATAAATCTATTTTTGGCATATAGCTCAAATCTCTCTGGTTGTATTTATTAGCAATGAATTGTTTCTACCTATCTCATTACTTGCAAAAGTTTGTGGTAATTTGAAAAGCTGTTTTGTGACAAATACACATGTATGACTTCTTTCTTCTAAGATGACTAAATGTGGTGTATTTCTTTCCAAAACTTAGGGTTACTTCAATTGCTGACAGACTGAATGTGGAATTTGCTCTCATTCATAAGGAAAGAAAGAGGGCAAATGAAGTGGACAGAATGGTCTTGGTTGGTGACGTGAAAGACAGAGTAGCAATTCTCGTCGATGATATGGCTGACACATGTGGCACAATATGTCATGCAGCAGACAAGTAAGTAGTATTATGATCCAGCCCACTGTCTCACTGTCCTGGAACCTGCTGGCAGCTGATGAATGCAGTTCTCCTGCATGCATATAACCTGGTCAGACATCTGTAGCATAAAGCCATTCTGATCCTTGAGTCTGTAGGTCACAGTTCTGTGATCAAGCCATGTCCTTGTTGAGAATGTCTAATTGAGAAAATATTTACATAAATACATGATCTGTATGTAGGAAGAACAGAGAATAAATAATATGTCATATAACTTGAAAAGAACTTGAGCCATCTAGTGTACTTTTCAGTTCCAAGGCAGAAATGACAGATGGAAAATCATTCTCTTCTTAAACCTTGTCATGGAGCCTTTCCACTATACTTAGGCATTCTTTCACAAAGCTTTACTGGATTAAATAATTTTCTCCCCAGTGTTCACTACAAGTTTAATATTAGCCTTCAGTGTACATCTTAACTATAAAACTACTTGTGCTTTTCATCTGGGGAGGTGAGAAGGATGTAAAAAAATTATGTGGAAGCATTCATATAGTCTTCTGTTTCTTTTCACCTTGATGGAAATTCAATGAAATTTTTCAAAGAGATGTTGTGCTGTTGCTTGCTGTCCACATTCTAATCTGCATCAGACCTTAAAGTGTGTTTCTAGGCTGTGCCCTTCAGAGATCAAAATCAAAAATTACCTAGCCAACAATTTTGTAATACTTCTGTGCATAGAGGAAGTTTATTCCTGTCAAAAAGAAGGCCTTATTTCTTTCTTGCGACAAGAGAAGCACTCTTTATTTACCTACAGTAGACTAGATTCTAGAGAGCAAATTCTAGAATTGTCAAAAACCTTCAATGTATCTGCAGTGTTCACTAAGAAAGATGTTTTTGCTTCAGAGATGCTGCCTTATATCATGTTCTTGGCATGAACTAGTGCTTTTCATTAATGTCAAATCTAGGTGGGATGTACTTTGTGCTTAATTAGACTTGCTCACCAAAATACATCTAGAACTCTTTTTATCTCAGCAACCTAGATGCATATCAAGCAGATGAACTAAGAAATGTATTTTCAGGTACAGCAGATCAACTTGCTTAAATACAAACTTAAGTACACACTATTGGTACACACCCTGTTGTAGTGCATCCTCCTTGTAGGTTGCAGATTTTAAATGTAATGCTGAAATGACCAGAAAATTTGTTTCTGTCGAGCCATTCAAAATGAGATGATGTTTCTATGGGTTTGTCTTTTTTCCTCTCTTATGCTTCCTTGTGTGCCTTTGCAATGATCTGATAAAATGCCACTCTTCAGGGCCTCTGTTTGTGAGACTAGAAAAGCAGCTAGGATATAGCTGAGCCTTGAAGTGAGTAAAAAATCAAGATTCTGACTCAGTTAAAATGTGTTTTGGTTCTTTGATTTATACTTCTTTTCCCTCCTGTGCTGTGTCACTTCACTTGGATTAGAAGAATGTCTTCCCAGAACCTTGCAGTAAGCTAGGCTTTTAATCATTAACATTTCTCCTTCCTCAGAAACTCCTTCCAAGCAGAACTGTTTGAATTGCAAATGAAAAATAAAGGTGGACAATAATGGAGGCACAATAGAGTTGTGAATATTGTCATCCAACCTACTTCAAGTTTTTGCCTGATTAAGATAGAAAATTTGTACTGGAGTTCAGTTGTACTTTGTGATGATATGGTCAATAGTGCAACAGTTTTCATTAGTATCACTGCTACAAATAACTTTTTCCTTTAAATATCAGTTGGTTGTTGTGGGGGTTTGAGACACTTAATTTTAAACTTTTTCAGGTCATACAAACATCTGAATTATTTTGTAGATATTTTATATGTAGGAATGTGTGAGTAAAATGTATTTTACAGAGATTTGTATCTGGCTTCATCTATAGCCATGTATGTAAACATGCATCACAGCATGCTTTTCTTCTGTGTTCTACAGGTTAATGTCTGCTGGTGCTACTAAAGTTTATGCCATTCTTACTCATGGCATCTTTTCTGGTCCTGCCCTCTCTCGGATTAATAGTGCATCATTTGAGGCTGTTGTGGTAACTAATACAATCCCCCAAGAGGATAAAATGAAACACTGCCCAAAAATACAGGTACAGTGCTATTTTTGTGTCATTCTTTAAACTCAGGATTTGTATTTTCCTGTTAACTTGTGCTAGAATTTGCACATTGAGAGAAAATTAATATTCTAAAATACATTGCTAGCAAAACGTTTTGCTAAAACATTCCAAAGTACTGTTTTAAGGGGATTCAAGTAGTACAATAGAGCATTGCAAAATATTTGATATTTGCCATACCTCAAGTATGATTGATTGTGAAACGTGGCATATGTTAAATTGACTAGGAGTGGTTTTGATTTTTTTAGCAATATTAATCATAAGTGGCAAATGTTAAATTGACTAGGAGTGGGTTTGATTTTTTTAGCAATATTAATCATACAGTATTTGTATGTAGAAACTTAGTTATGTTATAGTGGAGGCACAGAAATCTTAGATGACTATTTTTAAAAACACTAATGAATTGTTCTGGGAAGTCATGTGTCCCATTTGGAGATTTTCCTCAGCACAGAGTGGAGAAAAGCAGAAAAGATTGGGTTTTGTAATGCATTATTGGATTTTTTTTAAAAGCTTAACACTTATTTGGTATTTATTGAAATAAAGCAAGCACTTTAAAGGTGTACCTCCCTGAAATGGTATTTGTGTCAAGTGGACACTGCCATCTGATGGCAGCAATAGTGGGGGTTTTTGACAACATGCCCTTTGTCAGAAGCCTTCAACAATATGACCATGCAGCAGTCTTACTCAATGCTCTCTTACTCAGTTTTTGAGTTTTTATTTTGTATTAATGCAGTTTTTATGTATATGTTCAATACCTAAAGCTTTAATGTTATTTTACTTCCTAGTAACAAGAGAGCGCAATGGTAAATTGAATGTTTGTTTTTGTTTATTAACTGTATAGTTCATTGTTCTTGGCATCCCATAAAATTCTTCATGAATTCTTTTTTCTTTCAGTTTATTGACATTTCCATGATCCTTGCAGAAGCAATTCGAAGAACACACAATGGTGAATCTGTGTCTTATCTGTTCAGTCATGTCCCCTTGTAACTGCAGATTCCACTGCATCTTTGCAAAAGTCCCTTCAGCTAGCACTGTTGTTTTTAACAATGCACCTCAACCACAAGGAATGAGTATCTTTGTACAATTTCAGAGCTTGTATGTTTAATTATTATGTTTGTCTTGTAATTACCATTTGTTCTTTGTAAATGGGCAATAAATCTCCATCTTGCAGAAACCTTATCAAGTCCCTTGAGGGTCTGGAATTCTTGTGTGTTGCCTTAAGGTCTTTTACGTGCCTATACTCACTTTCTGCTAAACTGCTGCTTCAGATCCATTTTTCTATACTGAACGACAAATTGTTCACAGAACTTAATGGGATGTATACATGTAAGATCATTTACTGTGTTAAGCTAAATGCTGCAGATTTGAGTATCTCGTATCTATTAATCTGTCAGGCAAGCAGCTGGTTGGGGGTTTTTTTATGTTTAACTACCACAAATGGTATTTTGTAAGCCCTAACAGTATGTAAATGTTGTGTTAATTTTGAGGAACCAGTGACACATACACAGTTTTAACAGTGTTTCATAGGCTTCATATTTGTTTTCCCAGAAGATATATGGGACTGCTGCTTTCTTTCATGAAACTCTCATTACATTAAATTTCGTTGCTTAACATCTATTCTGTGCAGCTACTGTCTTTGGTTTTAAGATTGTTTCAGTATTCCTGGGATTATTAATTTCACTTGTTTCAATAATAAGGACCAACCTTCAATCTTGAGCAGTTCGGTTTAAGTTTCATTTTTTCCCTGGAGTTTTTGACATTCCCTGATTGTGATAATATGAAAAATTTATAGCAGTTTTCCTGTTAATATTGTAAAGCTTCACTGTGCACAGTCCCAGCAGAAAATTTAAAGACACTTATATTTATACAGACTGTTCCCTACCCACATCTACGTGATTCAAAAGGATTGGAAAATGCTTACTGTTTTTTTCAAACAGCACAGTCAATAGAACTTCAGGTTTCTATTACAAAGTATCACAATACTTTACTGTGCAGCCAGTGAACTATGGTACACTAACTAGTCTCGAATACTTTAACATTAGAGAATTAAAATTATTATGAAAACAGTTTTGCCTGTTGTATAATAGGAAACCTTATGGTTAAGTATGGGTAATGCAGTCAGTAATGGAATCAGGGGCAGGGGAGGAAAGGGTACTGTAATTTTGTAATGAGGTCTTTGAATCCCACTATGGGCTTTTCAGTCTTTCTGCTAGAAAGGAAGTGTGTATGTATTACGATAGTGTTCCTGCACCAAGATCATGAGAAAACTCAAGCTTCCTACCTGAAATTGTAGTTGCTAATTACAAAGCATTTGCCATTCTTGAGAGATGCTTCTTTAGTATGATGGTGCATAAAAAATAGCCTTACTTGATCCTAATTTGCTTAATCTGGGATATATTTATAATAATGTATATTATAAAATGGATTTTTTCATTCTAGGTAAGTTACTCTTCAGACAGACTGTTCTTTTGGTTTCTCTGAGAATAAATCTATTTGATCTTTATAGTTTTTCCCAATAATTTTCTATTGCTTCTGTGGAATTCTTATTCCTACATAAAAATGAGTAAAACAGAATTTCACCTGTAGTGCTTTCAGTAATGAATACAGATAGGGGGTATATAAGCTATTGTGATGAGAATTTAGTTCAGTCACTAGCTCTCAGAGGAGTTCCACATTACAGCTGAATTTTCAAAACTGTTAAAACATAATGGAAATAGATTTCAAATTTGTTATATTCAGTAAAGAGGTTTCTTAAATGTAAGATTATTTAACATATTCTCTTGCAAATATTACATTGCAGTTAAGTGGTTAACCCCAAGTCTGTGGCAACATAATTATACTAAAGTTTGCACCTTATTTCTAAATAAAAGTTATACAATGCATTTAATGCATGGTAACAATTCAGTTGCTTTACAGATCAGACTTTTGTTTCAAATAATAAAATGCTGAGTTAAGTGCACAAGTATTGTAAATAAAACTTTGAAATAAATTGTGCCAAAAGACCACTTGTTCTTCCATGATTTTATATTGTTTCTGGAGACCATGCCCTGCACAGGTCAAATAGGGAAGAACGTAGACATTGACTCTCATGCAAACCCTGCACATAAATCATGCTCCAGCTGTCTAGGACATAAGCATGAACAGTCACTCACAGCAAACTGGTACAGATCTTTATAAGATCATCCTTCTCTTTCTTTTTATGGTCTGACAGAAGGGACACAATGTTTAAATTTCCTTGGGAGTATGAGTTAACATTTCAAGACCAGCTGAAATTTGTATTTCTCAGATCACTAAGCAAACCCACTCAACTGTATTTAACAGGATGACATGGGAGAAAGAGCAGAAGGAAAACTGCAGAATTAAGCTCACTGTGTCTGCTGCAATTTGGGTAGTTATGAAGAGTTATAGGTGAATTCCAACAGTTCTGTGAAAACCACATCCATTTTGATGGAATTAAAAGCCATGGAAACAGAAAATTGTGAGGTGAGGGTGTTTGGTATTAATGCTCTATGCTCCCCAGTCCCATCCATGCTGGGATTCTGGTCTGAAGACCAGATGGCCGTTCAAGCTGGTAGGAAATATTCCTCTCTCAGCAGCATTCTTTAGAAGTAAGGGAAAAAATGCCACATTATATAGCAGAAGTTAGAGGATTTAGCTCATACTTGTCAATAAACCATTCTACTGCCCTAGTGGAAGTACAGATTTTCCCTTTTGCAGTAAGAGTACTTGATGTTCGCAGCCTTTCTGGAAGCTCTTGTCATAAGCTCCAAGGACTTTAAATGTCAAAGGCTCAGAGCCTGTTGCTGAGACAGTGGACTATTGGGAGTGAAACCTGAGCATGTTTTCACAGTTCAAGTGTCTCTCTCAGTTGTCTGTTGCCAGTGCTGGTGCTCTGTGGTCTCTCATATGTTGTGTGGTGCCTGCCCTCGGCTGACAGCCAAGCCCCTACCCAGCTGGGCTGGGGAAAGAACTGGGAGGGTAGATTCAGAGCAGCTTTGGGTGGAAATAAAGATGGGTTAATAAATTTTAAAAAAAAATCTAATGGAAATAGTGCAAAAGCAATCACTCACCACCTCCCACCAGCAGACCAACTAGCCCCTGAGTGATGGCTGCTTTAGCAAGATTCCCATCCCCCCCCCCAGATTTTATTGCTGGGCATTGCACCATAATGTCATGGGTTATCCCTTTGGTCAATTGTCTGCAATCCTGGTTGTGTCCCCTCCCAGACTCTTGGCCTCCCCCAGCCTACTTACCAGTATGAGAAGCAGAGAAGGCCTTGAGGCTCTGCAAGTTCCCCAGTAGCTCTAATGCTGGTATGTTATCACTGCTTTGGTCCCCAGTCTAAAACACAGCACCATAGGTGCTACTATGGAGAAAGTGACTCCATCCCAGCCAGACCCAGTATGGTTGTTGTGAGTGACAAACGAGGTGTGATTGTGGTGTGATTGTGGGCACTGGTGAATTCCTTCTCCCGGCCTGTGTTGTGCTGAACTTTTCAGAGAAAAAGATCAAAAGATACTGCAGAGAGCAAGTAGCTTAGCTCAGGAGCTAACTTTCCTCTTCTCATGTGACTTGTAACCCGGTATATCTCACAACAACCTCCATTCAGGTAATTGTAGAGGGTGAATTCCTCTGAACCTGCCAGTTTTATGATTTGCCAGCAGTTCCTGCATTAGCATGCACCACCACTTCCAGCATTTCTACCTTGGTGCTTCTCCTCCTCGTTCCCCAGAGAAAGGTTGGGATGCCCTCTCTGGCTACTCTGTCTTATCAGCCCCTCAGGATGGGATAAAAAAAGGAGATGTAGTAGCATTGCTGACCCTGGAGACCTTGGAAAATAATCTCATCTTATTTCAGGTATTTCTGGATGCCTTCTGCCTCCCTTGAAGGTAACTCACTTTCAATTCCAGGAGTGCCAGGCATCTTTGCATTCAGCAAATAATTCCAACCTGTTGTAAACACCAAATGGTCAGTCTTGGCACTGACGTAGCCTGGGACAGCCTTAACTTCCAGAAATGGCCAAATCTATTTCTGTGGTACCACTGGCTCCCTCAGCCATATCTCAGAGCCCTGGGTGATTTGGGTAAGTTCTTAGTACAGATCTGTCAGGGTCTTCTCCCTCACCAGAGCTCTAGGTGCGTCGCTCTGTCCTTTTGTAGGCCAATCTCCTCCACTGTTGTCTTCTGTTTCTTGTTTGAGTTATTTTTGGTGCCTGAAAACACATTTCTACAACTGCTATCATCAAGAATCCTGCATTACATACGCAGATCATATATACAGAAGCTTTAAGGCTTCTGCAAGTAATTTTGTATCATTTCCCCAATTTCGTTATCCATTTCTCTTTGTGGTTCTTTTCATACATCTGTCTATATCAGTTTGAGGAGTCAACTTATGCATTTGAAAAATAAGCAAACTAACTGGTTTTCTGCAATAATTTCCTGGGTATATTGTGCAATGTTACAGTGAAAGTTGTATTAACCATACATATATTGAACAGTTGAGAAGAGAAATTTCTGCAAGGCTTTAGAACTTTCAGTAGAATATCCAACTTTCAGATTAACACAGCAGAAGCCTGATTTTGATAAATAAGTAAAGCAGTTTGCTGTAAGTTTTCATTTAGAAGACAAAAAAAAAAATGTGAATTCACCAATCTGATTACAAAAATCTGACAACTAAACGTATAGATGAAGTATTAAGGCAATTAAAGATCCCTGCTCTATTTTAAGTTATATTATTCTTTCCCAGAAGTTGCAAAATTCATGTATTGTCATCAAAGGGTCCTCCCCTAATGTGTGATGCAGTAGGAAGTACTTTTCCGCTTTCAGTTACTTTGTGTTTCACAGGAGGCAAAAGAGATTTTGTGCAATGTCTCAGGGAAACCCAATCTTTTAAAATCAGTAAATCAGTGATTCCCTGTGCCTCTAAAGATCAAAGTATATTCTGAAGTTCTGGACTTCTGAACTCTGCACTGAAAGTGCATTTACTCCCACCTTTTGACAGGAAATATTGTTATATCTTTCTTCCCATAGTTCATAGGTTTTAAAAAAAAAAAGGTAAGCATCAGGAAAGTGATCTGTGTTTCTATTAGTGTTCAGCTAAAGCTGCAGTTTCACTTTGTACAGAATTGAAACTCATGTGCTCTTGCACGGGTCACAGCAAGTTCCTAATATAAAA